GGTATATAAAGAATTAAAACCTTTCATCCCACGAAATAATCAATCAAAAAAATAGTAGAATATATTCTTTTAATTATATTAGCAAATTATTTAATATCAGGACACGCTAGCTGACAATGAAAACGACAGAACTAACCGAGGTTTGAAGACCCTTCCAGCCATATATATGTTAAAATATTAAATTGTTTATGTTTGAAACTATTATCAAATTAGGCACAGACAATTTCATTAACAAAAATAAATGGGACAAAGATCCGCGTGGTTGTACTAAACGCTATTAATTTGAATTGTCAACTGATTGGCATATTTACCATCTTCAATTAATATCCTAATGAGGTGAAAACTGTAGCAGAAGCTGTTGGCAATTTTATCCTGTGACCCAAGAGACTTGTGAATGTGATTTAACCTGTGATATGCAATTTTATTATGTGGCAGCTTTCCTAAAATGTTTTCTTATTAACTATTTCTTTCTTTTTTATTATGTATAATAGCTTTTCTCGTCAAATCTCCTGAAACTTTCAGAACCCTCGTTAACTCCACACCAACGAATGATTTTAATGGTGTATGATCCATCATTCAAACTCAAAGATTTAGAAATGAATTTGGAGGTTGTGGGTAAGAAAGACATGATAGTGACAATTGAACGAGAAGATTTGCTTCGACTTTTATCAAATAGTCAACTGATCACACCACACATTGAACTATTTATGATGTAAGTTTGTATTTTTTTAATGAAATTAACTTAATTATCAAGTCTAGTGATCTAACACAATTGCATTGCTATAGGTACCTTTATCATTTGTGCATCATATCAGGCAAAGGTGACAAGTTCGGATTCCTTTGTCCACATCACATGATAGAGGCAGGGAATACTCTAGAGTTAAGGGTCCAGTATCTCCAACAAAGAATATATGAAGTCAAGAAAGATATTTTTATGGCTCCATACGTGCATTCGTAAGGATCAATTTGTAATTAACAGTTTTTTTGATGTAGATTTACTTTAACTCATCATATTTTACAGGGATCATTGGCAGTTGTTTGTTCTTTCAATGAAGAGCAACACTATTGTCTTCTTATGTTCCTTCCATTACAAACTTGGGAAGGAAATGAAGAATACAATAGATTCATAAGTATATTTGTGCAAAAATATTTAATATAATTTACACTAAATATTTTAGTTACTAACTTGGTGATCTTGAGCATATAGCAATGAAAACATATCAAAATGTGGTCTTGCAAAAGTACAAACATGAGCTCAAGGATCCTACATGGATCGAGCCAAAGGTAATATTATACTTTATGAATATGTTCAATTACTATGATTTTTTATGATTTATTTTTATACAGAGCCGTGACAACCAATGAAGATGAACTTGTGCGGCCTATATGTGATGAGACATATGCTCAACATTATCACATGGGCATGACTGAATTTACAAAAAAGGTAAATATATTTTTAAAAGTTTTATTTTATTATGTTATTTGAGAGTACATAATAAGTCTCCTTTACAAATTATATTTTAGATGTCTGACAATTCGGATCCATTCCCTGAAGCTAAAATTGAAAACATTTGTATACGTTGGGCAACTTATTTTGGGAAGAATTTGTGAGTTTTGTAGAAAGTTTCTTACAATTTAAGAAGTTTGTTAGTTGTATACAACTTTTGAAAACATTTGTTGACATAATGTTTTGGATAGCTCAATAGTTTTTAGATATTTTATAGATAACTTTCAGTTTTGGATAGTTGTTAATTTAATTTTATATTAAAAATTGTAAATAAATTGTGCTGTCTGATTTGGCTGTGGATGTTTATTTTAAAAGTAAAATACACTTTTTATAGTGATTATTACCATAACTGGTGTAAAAATTACTATTCTACATTGGTTAATGTAAAAATTGGTGTAAAATAGAAAACTTTAGCGGTTGGCAAAGAAACGGCTGTAGAAAGTCCACTTTCTACAGCGTTTGTATTCCAACCACTGTAGAAAGTGCTCCAGTTTTTAATTTTTAAATCGTTGATCCATTTTTTACATAGGTTATGGTTAGTCAATGTAGAATATGTATTTTTTACAGTGGTCGTATAATCGAACTTTTTATATCCCCTGTAACAATATCGCATATTTAACCGCTGTAAAAAATCATTTTTGTAGTAGTGCATATAACATTTCCCACAACCAGTTCCATAATTTTCAACTTTTAAGTTACTCATTACAACCTGAACTTTTAACTTACTCATTTTGAACGCGTGCCACTATATCTTTTATATATATATATATATATGATAATGTAAAGGAATTTAACTTTTCCCCCCTTAAATCATCAATTAAAAATGAATAGAATATAGGGAAAATATCATCTAAAGACCCTTGTAATGCTTTGTGATGACTCTCTATATTTTTATATATTTTAAAGAGTTTTATTGATCTTTTAGAGAGTCATCTAGTTATTTTTGTTTATTTGTCTTGTGTTTAGTGTTTATTTTGGTAGCAATTAGCTTGTCTTGTAAATATTGTATTTTGATTTTGTTTTAGATTATTTTATTTTATTAATTTGAGTCATTTTGGAGTTTATGAAATTTTACAATAGCTTGGAGGAGGTGAAAAAAGAAAATATAATGAATTTAATGAAGAAATTGAATTGTTATGATCACCCACTACAGCAGCTACCACAGCGGGTTAGTATTATAAGGCAATTCTAAACAAGAAACAGAGCCCGCTACAATGCTTGATGAAGCAGATTTTGCACCAAAAGCGCACAACATTAGTTTTTCAGATAGAAAAGTGAGAAAACATGAGGGTTTGAGCAAGTTTGACTTTTGGGAAGTTCTCTGGACTAGTGGAGGCAATTTTGAAGGCTGGGCATTGACCTAGAAGCTTGGAGGAAGAGGATTCATCCATATTTTGTGATTTCTTCTAGTTTAATCTTGTTTTTCTCCTTCTTCTCCAATGTTTCTGGTTTGACTTCTTTATTTTGCTACTGTGGGATTGAATATACTAATGTATAGCTAGATTTTCTTTATGACCTAAGCAACTATAAACTTGTTTATGTATTAGATACTATTTTCTCCGATTATTCTATGATTAATGTTGGTTTTGGGTTACTTAATTTTATTTATTGTGACTTGCTTGATACTTGGCCACCATTAAGTTAAGACCTAGGGGTTTGGGGTTTATCTTAGAAAAGGAAATCTTAAATGGACCTTGAGATTAGGTAATATGGGATTAGAATTTATTCTAATTTGCCATTAGGATAGAAATATACCTCTTAGACCCATATAATCATATTATAGTGTTATTAAACTTTTAATGCTTCTTGGATAATTGTGTTAGCATTTGCATTATTATTTAAGAGAGGTTGTAATTGATTTGGAAGACAATTTCAACTAATTAGACTCTAGATTAACCAAAAAAAATTAATATTAGGTAATTTGGAGGAAATAGATTGTAAGAAGTAAATAAGGATTAGGAGGTTAGGTCATCTCTTTTACGAAATTGTTGTTTGGTAGAATTAATTGTTTTTGAATCTTAATTGTTGATTTTTTTCATTTATAAACTCTCATACATGATTTGCTTGACTTTAATGAAATTAAAAATTTAATGCCCACTTGCCATTGTGTTTAATTTTCTGTGGGATTGACTTTGATACGTTACTATATTGTATAGTGACCTGTATACTTGTGGTGTCTATTTAATTTTTGTGTGCATCATTTTAATATTAAAAAAGACCCTAAAAATCTAAAATATCCTTGCACCCTCTTGGGACCTATAAGAAAAATATGATTTTGGGAAAAATATGAAATTATAACGTGAATTATATTAGGTAGCATTTCAATTGATAGATTTGAAATTTAGATTTTAGATTTGAAGTCATGCATTTCAAGTTTTAATTTTCAAATCCATGTATTTAAAATTTTTTGTTTGGATAGTTTACCAAATTTCAAATAAAAAATATAGATTAAGTTGAGATGCAAAACGAAAATGAAAAATTAGAAAAGACAAGTTTATTTCTATTTTTTAATCAAGAAGACATGAAAAAAGATCTGAGAGCTATAAAAGCATCAACAAAATTGAAGATGCTGAGAGAATGAAATGTTTGAGTAATTCGAATTTTAAATCACTAAAGTGCAAATTAAGTTTAGAATTACAAAGGAATTAAAATTTGAAATGAAGTATTTGAAACAAATCTAAATTCATAAATTTTTTTGTATTCAAATAAGAGATTTGCTTCAAATTAAAATCCAAGTCTCCATTAATCAAAACACACAGTGAGTAAATTATTCAACGTCAAAACTAGCTAGCTAGCTGATATTGGAAACGACAAAGCCAGCCAAGGGGCCGAACTGCTACAGTACAAATCTAACAGTCCAACGATGGCCAGTAGTCTTGCACGGCCAGTCATAGAAGGTAAAACCTAACAGTCTAATATTGACACATCAATTACATTCCATTTCATAGAAAAATCACAAAAATTAATCAACAAAGCTAGGTTTTCGAATTCAAAGGTAAAAAAAACAACTTTGCGAATTCAAAAAGACGAAGAATGAAGAATGAGCTCATCTTATCACTTTCACGTTTACGGAACATGCGAAACTGTTACTCTCTTAACACGAAAGAGATACTTTTCGTCCGTACTAGAAGATGCTCTTTCATGCTTTAACGTAGTCTGAGGAAACAGTACTGAATGGTCAACTGATACACATGCATGCCAGAAACCTAATAGTCAACAGCTAGTTCCCATCGCACGAAACTATTACGGATTAGATAATGACATTTAAAACCTAATAGTCTGGATATAGACTCAGCAAGCATGATTTGGTCAGAAGGGGCAGGCTTTTCAAATAAAGTTTCAACAAAATGGAAAACTTTGACTATTCCAGCCAAGGACAAGGTCATGGCTTTCAAGTATATAAGCACGCAACACCAGGCCTCCTCATCACAAATCAAACTCATTGCAATTCATAAAGCTTTTCATTTCAAAGCAAAGCAATAGAAAGAAGGAGAAAGGGGAGGAGGAGGAGGAGAAGATGGGCGGCTTTACAAGCAAAACAATGCATTCTCATAAGGTGGCCGATCAGTTTGAAGAAGAGAAGAAGCATATGGCTAGTCCTGGAAGCATTGCAACGAACTGGAGAGAACTAAGTGGCGAACATCATTGGACAGATTTGTTAGACCCACTTGACATCAATCTCCGAAGGTATATTATACACTACGGAGAAATGGCTGAAGCTACTTATGATGCTTTTAACTCTGATAAGGCATCCAAGTATGCAAGAAGGAGCCGTTATGGAAAAAGAGATTTCTTCTCGAAGGTGGGTTTAGAACGTGGAAATCCTTTCAAGTATAAGGTGACAAAGTTCCTGTACGCAACCTCAGAGATCGATTTTCTCATACTAGACGATGTTGAAGAATCAAACTGGATGGGATACGTCGCGGTGGCCACCGACGAAGGCAAAGCCATGTTAGGGAGGAGGGACATTGTGATTGCTTGGAGAGGAACTGAGCAGGTGATGGAATGGATCAAAGATATTCAGTTCCTCTTGGATGATGCTCCACATATTTTTGGAGATGATGCTGAATGTAAAGTACACCGAGGCTTTTACTCCGTTTACACAGCAACTAACTCCCAATCAGACTTGAACAAAACAAGTGCAAGAACTCAGGTATAATACATTTGTTTTATCATTTTGTCACCACAGCAATTTAAGCCACCGCTATATTTTATAGATGAAGGGAGATATTTAATGTTATTCACCTCTCATTGTGCAGGTCTTGACTGAGATTAGAAGACTGGTTAACAAATACAAGGATGAAGAAATCAGTATAATAGTAACCGGACACAGCTTAGGTGCGGCACTTGCAACACTGAATGCGGTGGACATTGTGAGTAATGGATGTAACATCCGAGAAGATGAATCTCAAAAGGCTTGTCCAGTCACAGCCATTGTATTTGCCAGCCCTCGAGTCGGAAACTCAGATTTTAAGGAGTTTTCTTCTAGTCAAAAGGATCTTCGAATACTGCGAATCCGTAATAAAAATGATATAGTTCCGAGGCATCCTTTCTTGGGTTACGATGAAGTAGGAGAAGAGTTGGAGATTGATACTCAGAAATCAAACTTCTTAAAGCAACCGGGGGATTTTAAGAGTTGGCACAATCTGGAGGCGTATTTGCATGGAGTTGCAGGAACGCAAGGGAGCGAAGGGGGATTTAACTTAGAGGTTAAGAGGGACATAGCACTTGTAAACAAAGGCATGGGTGCTTTGAAGGACGAGTATAACATTCCTGAGGCTTGGAGGATTGATCAAACAAGGGACTGGTTCAACAGCCAGATGGTACTTGGAAGATGCAAGAACCGGAATCAGAATCTGAGGATGATGACTTTGAATGAATGAATTAGTTAATTTATTTGTTTTAATGTGTATAGTAGTTTCGTTATTGTTCTTTTATCTCTTGATTATGTATCATTAATTTGATTCTTTTAGTCACTCTGGATGCTTGAGTGAAACTTAGGTTCAAGGACATTGGAGAAATATTTGTATTCATTTATTCATGAAATTCTTTGACTGTAATTTTAAAACTTTAGTGACATAGCACTTGCAAAATATAAGCTATAGGAGAAGTGGAATCTACTATATGTTTCAAAACAACAGTAAATAGATTCATCAATAATTTAAAATATTATCTAGATTAAATTATGATTTTCACAACAAATAAAAAGTATCAACAAAAAGAAAAAGTTGAAGTTTATTCATATTAATAGGATGGCACGAAAGGTCCAATTCATAGTGTGCATCTTGTCTTTATATAATATATATATATATATATATATATCTTTGTCTTTAGCTTCAGCTTTTCTTTCAAGTTTCGTAATAATTAGGATTTTCAATCATATTGTAAATATATTCTCATCTCCTAATGAACATATAAAATATTGTAAGTTAAATTCACTTTTATTAAGAATATACGCACTTGCGGATTGCTTAATTTTTAATTTTTTAACCCAGATCAAAGAGATCCAAGACTACAAATTGTTTAATATTGTAATTTTAATTCCCCATATTCTCCTTGGGCATTTTAAAATAGTAAACTTTTCGGTTTTAAGAACCCCTACTACAAATTGCCTAATCTTTCCTAAAAAAATATAGTAAATTGTTGTACCATAATTTTCAAGTAAGTCGTCAGAGCGTGTTAGCTCTTGAACATCACGTGAATTTATGTCAAAATTAAGGTTACATGTGTTTAGTACGAACAACATTACTGTAATGAATCAACAAAATTGCCAAAGAGAATCGATGAACGTTGACAAATATGATGAGGATCATGATAGAAGAAAAGAATCATAATAGGAAACCAACATTAAATGTAATAATCCTAAATAAATTTAAAATAAATAAATATATATATATAGGTTAACTTGTTTTAAGTGTGTTTATATTAGTTCTTGAAATACATATAATAAGTTAGAGACTTGGTTCAGTGGCAGCTGAGGAGGACTTCAATCCGGAAAAAAGACCAAATGAAGAATTAAATTTTTCCTTCTTTTTTGCTATGCGAAATTACCAGATTGTCCTTCTCCCATTGTAATATAATTCTTTTTCTTTTCCTTCTCCAGCAGATTTGTGCATGAGTCAAGAGAGCTGTAGACTTCACCAGAAACTTCGAACCCTTTTCGTTCAGCCCTTCACCCATTATCATCATCCCTATCGTTAAACTACTCGCCGGTGACCTTGGGAGCGCCGGAAAAATCCACCATGGGAGACGTTCAATAACTGGTTGTTCTCCCCTGTTTTCGCTTCGTTTTCTTTTATCTTGCTGTCTGTGAATGGTGCCAACGTTCCAAGCTTCCTCGTTGTTTTTCTTTCGTCCGTCTCAAGTGCTGTAAGTTCGCCGGAAGTCTTTTGCTCTTCTCGCGTTGGAGTCGTGCAGCGAACCTTCTCTTTTCTTCTTCTTCCTTTCAGCTCGTTATACAGAGCTGTGACTCATCTTGCTTCCTTGTTCAATTTCAGTTGAGCGAGGTACAGATTATAGGATTTTTTTTTTGTTGCTACTGTTAAGTTTCTCAACTATGTTTAGTTTGTTATGCTTCCTTCTACTCGTCCTGATTCTTGCTCTGTTTTCTCAAATTTCATTCATATGTTGTTAATGAATGGAAGAAATTAGCTCGCTGGAAGTTGGTGGATTCGGTTCTCTTCACTTCCTTTTGAATAGTGCTTCGTTTTTCCTCTTGCTCAGCCGTGAATTTCATTTTCCTCCTCCCCTGCTGTATGCCGTTGGACCATTTGAGGTGAAGAATCTTGATCCCTTCTCTTTTTCTTCTTGGTAGCTAACGCACCTATGGGTATGATGGGATAACATTGAAATTTGCTTTTTATTTTTTTGATTGTCTGTTGCTGCCCATGACTAAAATATATATATATATATATGTGCGCGCGCGCGCGCAGTAGTATTGAAGAATGATGAAGAAAGAGATGGGTCATAATTTTAGATTTAAATTGATTTTGTTTGATTTGGTTAATGCTAAAGAATTTATTAAGGTAAAATTAGAAGAGATAAGTAACTTCTAAATATTGATGGAAATTATTGATTAGGAATTCACCTGTAGATTTATAAAGGAATTTAAATTATGGGTTTATACACATAGTTATTTGTATATTTAAAGCTCATCTGATATTTGGTAAATAGTTAAAGGTTTTAGATTGAAATGGTGGAAGTAATGCACCTAAGGTAAGAGGTGCAAAGATTGGGAGAAAGCTTCTATCCCGAGAAAAAAAAGGAAGGAGAAAAGTTATTAAAATCATATATATTTATATTTTATAGGGTGTGTGGAAGAACAAGACCCTGAAAGGACTTAAAAGAAAATACTTTCGAGAATTTAGAATTTCAACAGGTAAATGAATAGCATTCCTTATGAGCATTCATTGAAAATATTTTATTAAAATATTTCATTTTTTATGAATTATGTTAGTTTTAGAAATTTTGAAATAATGATGAAGAATAGTCATATTATGATTTGTGCAATTTTTCAAGAAATATATTTTTTATATTGATGAAGGCACCTTTGCCTATTGAATTTTTAAAATTTCTTGATTTCATGATTAGCGCAAATTTGTACATTCGTTATGGTGTATCGGTTTGACAAGTTTCATATATTTAAAGCAATTCATGCGAATTTGACCTTGAAAATAAAAATTTGACTTCACAAATAATTATTTCTCTCGTATGTTTGAAACGGGATTTCTAAGAGAACTCTATACAGAATACTACTACTAACGGCAATTTTGTTAGTCCGTAGCGTGCTGTGATTAAACACTAGCAAGTTTGTTTTGTGAGTTTTAATCTCACGTTTGGTATTCATGGGCTTCGTACCCGCATTTGATTTTATGGCATAAGCCGCGTTTGGTTACTTATCCTCGTGGGCTGTGTGTCCACGTTTGTTCCGTAGCTATAGCTGCGTTTGGTTACTTATCCTCGTGGACTGGTGTGTCCACGTTTGTTTTCGTGGCATAAGCCGCGTTTGGTTATTTACCCTCGTGGACTGAGTGTCCACGTTTGTAATCTGTTCTGTTGAGTTCTCAAAATTTTAAATGTTAAGTATTATGTGTTTTCAAAATTTACTTGATTTTAACTAGTAATTTGAATCACTTAAGTTATATGAGAGCAGATCGTTTTCTTTAAGCATGATAACATAAATTGTTTTCAATTTACTCTTATTTTATACGTATGGTTATGACTTACATGTTTATAAATTTTGATAGAATTGCTTTTAACTAGCTGGCACTATTATTAGAAATTATTGATTAAAATTTTAAGAAATTTTTTTTGGGAATGCTATTCACTGAAAAAATTATTTTGGCCTCAGATTTATTAGCTGACGCTGATCCCACCAACGACCTCAAAAAGGGCAACTAGCTACAGTGGGTGGACTTTTTTTGATTGGTATTGTTGCTTTAATGTAAATATATATATAATTTGTCTGCCTTTTTGATTTGAAAGCAGTAGCAGATGTTCCACATAGGTTGTTGATGAATTTTATTTTTGGTTTGTATATTGATAGTTGGCTGGAAGGAGCTACGCTCCTGAATTATACTATTATTGTAAAAATTTTTGTTGTAGAAATTTTGGGAGATCCTAATTACAGGAGAGGTTTTGCCAAAATTTCTACAAAAATGTTAACACTTTCTTATGATGATGAATTTAAAGAAGTTATTTAAATTCTCATATGATTTGATTGAATTTTGCATTTCTTGAAAGATGAAATAAATATTCATTTGAAGGCTTACAGGAATGTGAAAGTGATTCACACCCGTGCCAGTCACCCTCTATTTGGGGCGTGACATTAAAGTTGAGAAAATATGGAGAATATTTATTATCACTATACTCATGCCAGAATGAAGAGTTCAGAGAGAGAACTATCAAGCATCCTAAAACTCATCGAAGTATTACATCAAGAGCGTCAGAATAACGCATCTAGCTCATGTGGACTATGTAAATGTTTGTTTAGGGCGTTAATTTGTTTCTATCGTAAACTGTGAGAAAATCCCTTAGGCTATGAGTACTTGCTGCTTTTAGGCATTTACCAGTGGACTTGATGACATTATGAAATGGGATCATTAGGTAGCAACTAATGGGCCAGAAAATGTTAATATTGTACTAGTGAAAAAAATCTTTTTAATATTCTCAACAGCCAGATATGGTGCTTGGAAGTTGCAATAACCAGAAACAGAATCCATGGAGAAAGGATGATGATTTTTAATGAATAAATTATTGCTATTTTATTTGCTTGATGTCTAAGATAGTCGTTTCATTGCTTTTTCTTGTTCAAATCATGTTTACTAATTCGATTCTTTTAACCACTCTAAATGTTTGAGTGGACTTAAGGGTTAAGAACATTGGAGAAATAATTGTATCCATTTCTCTCATGAAATTCATTAATTGCAATCTTAACTTTTTTGTGATATTTCTTATTCTGTTAACAATTAACACGGGTATCACTTGCAAAACATACGCTGTAAACATGAGTGAACACTGCTACAAAAAAGGCAATGACGTCTCTTATTGGACAGTTCTTTGAGCAACCATCCAATAAGTTGAGGCGGAAAGCACATTTGATGGTTGACTAAGGAACAGAACAGTCCACTATCTGTCATTATATTGGATGGTTATTTTGAAAACTGTCTAATAAGCGTTTTCGAATTTATATTTTTTAAATTTTTTTCTGGGAAATACATAGTGGACGATGCTTGGATAAAATCATCCGATATGAATTTCATACATTGGATGATTATATCAAATAATAATCCAATATAGATTTTAAAAAACAATCCTCTGCAACAGTGTCCTCTCTCAGCTGTTGTTACAGCATCTCTCCTCCTTTGATCTCTTCTCTATCACCTGCGACAGCCAAGCGCCACCACCTACCACTCATTTCCGGTAAGACCCCAATCTTTGGCAACCCACTCACTGTGAAGGCGTTCGTGACAGAGGGTTTTCGTAAACCTCCGTTATCATTTGTGCGAACTCGAGATTTCCATAGGAGAAGCGTCCACGCGTGATTTATATTAGGTAAGTATACTAAAAGCCATTGCATATTACTATATGGGTTGCAAATTTGGTGATTTTGCTCTACTAAATCTCTGGATAATTAGTTCTTTGGATGTAAGTATTGGGAATTTGCCATGTGATGTTAAAACTTTATTGCAAAATTTAAATTATTGTTATGTGTAGCTTTAAAGTCTTGATTACGTGAGAGTTTTGTTGTGTTTTTGTTTTTGTGCGAATTTTAGCCTAATTTTTTTGTTTTTGTTGTTGTGGCAAAGTGGAACTCATTTGGTTGAATTTTTTTTTATCATTTCATTCTTTAGTTGATTGTTGATTAGTGTTTGAAGTTTGATAGAGATTAGAATTGTTTACAAGTACTTTGTGCTTACTCGAATTTGTTACTTATGTATGAGTTTTGGCTTTAAAATGCTTGTTGGATAAATGCTATATGATATTGTTTTGTTGATGATGATGTGGTTGTTGTGATTGAAATGAGGGCAAAATTCCTATTAAAGCTCAATGTGAATCAATTTGTTGTTGACTTGTGATTTTGCATTTCTTTGAATTAATTTATATAAACCCTCTTGCTGAAATTTGGTAATTGGTTTGGGACCTTTTTGAGATTGTTGTTGGATTGTAAATTTATAATTTGTGTTGTTGGATTGCGACCTTGCTGAAATTGTGATTGAAATGAGGACAAATAGCTTGGGAAAGCCCCATTTTTAAGTGATTTTATTTTGAACTAATAGTTTATATTTTAATTTGAAAATAATATTTTAGATTTTAGTTTAAAATAATAGCTTATATTGTAGTTCGAATGTAATTGTTGTTATTTGAAATTAAGTATAAAGAGAGGGAAAATTGTTTGGGAAAGTCCCGCTCTTAAGTTATTATGTTGCTAAATTTTTGTTGAAAATAGAGTACTTACAATTAGTTTAATAAAATTATAAGTATTATCTTAAATTTAATTAGCTTATAGAGGTACAATATATATGTGATAGCATGTGACTTATGACTGATTGAATTAGTAGTTAATTTATTTATTAAACTAACCTTTTCAATATGATTGAACCACTAATATCATTTTCCTCAATAATCCTTGTTAGATTGAGAGAGATCATAGATAAGAAAAGGACATATGTGAATAGAGTGATGAAAGAATATATAGATGGGGTGAAGGAGTTTGTTAGAATTGCACTAGAGCATGAGATATATCAAAATAGCATTATGTGCCCTTGTGTAGGGTGTGACCTATAATAATTAGAAGATAATAAAGCTACTTATCACTATTAATTTAAACAATCAATACTAACTTGATAATTAATTCAATAACATATTTATTGTTTCTCTATACAGTGCCCATGACAAAAGCATACAGCAAGACTTGTGAATGCTTCATGATGGGGTTTCTCAAAGATATCATCACTCATGAGATGACTCTAATCTGCACCAAGATATGTATGTATTCAACTTCAATTATTTGTGATTATAAATTTTAATTTACTCAACTAATTAACTAACTTTGTTGTCATATTATACTATTGTAGTATTACTCAACTTATTGGGAAGAATTTGAAGACCCTCACATTGATGAAGTCATTGAATAATGATGTGAGTACTTTTTCTAACTGTGAGCAAAAATTGAGCTGGATATTCTTTTATATATTTTTTCTCATTTAGGTTTTATAAGTTAGGATAGTTTTGAGCAATTGTATAGCAAACAATTGTGGTTTTTATAATTTTAATAAAATCATTAGTTTATGTAATAACCCACAAATTTTAGTTCAAATTATAATTTATGATAATACAATTTAAGTGTATTTTTACTAATTTTGGGGTAGATTTTACAAGATATATTGGTGGCTCAATGGTAACTTTGTTTGCTAAATATTTTTAGCTTATAGATTCATTGAAATGTATTTGGCTTGGTTTTAGATAGTGTAGTTAAAATTATACCTCTTGCTAACCTTTGAGGAGCTCATTGTTGAATTGACTAGAAAATCAGTTTTGAGAATATCTTCATTTTGATTTAAATGTTTAATGATGTGTTGTATTTTGAGTATACAATCTATGTGGTCCGACATTAACTATAGATAGGGTCTTGATGTGTTGTTTGTATTACTAATTTGGTTCAGTAAATGGCTATTATAAAGATTTTGGGAGGTCCTATTTACATGGAAGATTTTGTTGAGATTTTTATAGAAAGTTTAGGAATCTTTTTGTTTATATGAAAGTGTGGCGTTTATTTCCAATCCTATTTCAAATGAATAAAGATATTAAATTAGATTTTTTCTTAATCAAGGCTTAAGAGATGCGTATTTATGCATGTATCCTATGCCAGTGAAGCCTAATTTTTGGAGCATGACAAGTTTGAAGAGTATGGATTTATACTCAATTAAAGTTTACATAAAAAATTGACAATGTCACTTTGGGCATTAGGGAATTAAGGAGTGGCTCCTATTGCAAAAGTGTCTAAGTAGGAGTCTAGAAGTTGTGTACTTGGGAGCACATTGGGTTAGTCGATAACATCCCAATTAACACATCAAAAAAATTCTTTTTATTGCAATATTATTTTTCTTAAATAGATCACATGACTATTTTAAGTGTTGAATTTTATTAAACTATTTTAACACTTGAAGTCATGACATATATTTATAAGATAGAAGAAAATTCTTTTACAAGTTCTAGTACTCCTTTATTTGATAAAGACAAGTATGAAAATTGGTGAATAAGTTTCTGAGACATTAGTTGTGAATTTTTATATTAAGAAGGATTGATGTTTCAAACAATTTATGTGAGTTTGTTATTGGGAACAGAAAATTATAATGGTCAAGGTAATTTTTTATGGATGAATGAATTGGGTGAAGTAATTCTCAATCCCATCCCCTTCTTCCAGCCAGCGATCCATTGCAAGAGAGATCGAGATTGAGAGGAGTGTTTTATGTGGGAGCTTTGTTTGAGTGATATGAGATTCCCAATTTTATTTTGTTGGCGATCTACCCTCTTCTTTTATTTTTCTTTTTGATATTTGAGTTTTGACAAGGAAAGAAATCTAGAGCTTGATAGATTTTGAATTTTTTAAGTGTTCCCAACTAATTATTTGATTGTTAAAAGAGCTAAGAATGTTAGATTAAGATTTTACATGGTTTAATTTTTCCCAAATAATTTATTTTTATGACTATAGAGTATCATTTAATATTCTGAGAGACTTATGTCAAATAAAGAATGATTTATTTATAATATAATGATGTGTAAACTTTCTCTAGAGGTTTAATCTATTTAAAAATAAGATGGACATAAGGATTAGAGTTGACTATATAAAACTGCGTAATTGGAGGATATAAAAACAGACTTTTGGAGAAATAAGAGTTTAAAAAGATTATTATTAAATTTATAGAGGTGATAAAAAAGAATAAAAATTCATGGAAACTAATTTAACGGATAAAGTAGTTTAAAGTTTAAATGAGTAAGGTTGGGAGCCGTTAGAGTTAATTTTATAAATAAAATAAATTAT